CCAATAGCTAGTGCTGCCTAGATAGGCACGGTATATTTGATTGACATCGTGATGACCTATGGCATACAGACGTATACCATAGGTCATCACGATGTCAATCATCATTAAATCAATTTTAAAGCAAAGCAAAAATAACGATATTAACAGATAGCTAAGCTTTGGAGTTTTTTTTTTAATATTTTGGACATCTGACACACAACGCCAACTAGTTTCAAACTATGCAAAGCTTGTACTATGAAAGCTAGAATGACTGATAGAACACTTATATACTTTTTTTATAAATATATACATATTACGTATAGAAAACACCCAAACTCCGAAACAAATATTTGCAGATCATACAAACATTTGGTCCGACCCGGCAATCGAACCCTAGAACTCAGCACAGCAGTCGCATAAACTGCCACAGCGCCATTGTTTAAAATTAAAAACTAACTGAAATAATTGAAATGGAATAAGAAAATGAAACACCCATCCACTTAAAACATAATACATTATTTATATAGAATACAATACTTTAACATTCATCTACATTATCTAACACGGATAACAGTTATCTTTTATTAAATAGATAAACATATTGTGTTATATTTCGACATTCATTTAACATCAATAGCACATGAGAAATATAAATGTACTACAGAAACAAGATGTATTTGAGTACAATTAGGAGAAAGTATTTCTAAAAATACAAACTTTCTTTATTTTTAAAATAGTTTATGAACAGCAAGAGTAGTATATAAACATTTTATTTATAATTTTAAAAATACCTAGTCACCATATTAATACATAATTCATATACTAATTAGTTTTAGAAATTATTGTAATGTAATATATTATGATATTAAATATATGCTATAATATGCACCCAATTGATTCGTACACTCCCGCAGTTATTGTATAAAAAAAAACTAGTTTCTAAGAACTCGGCACTGGTCATTTGAGTGATCTTTAATTTTGTTCTTTCAGTTCTTTGTCAAATAGATACAGTAAGAAGAAATGTTACCCAGGGCATTTAGACCCAAACTAAACATAGCTCTTTCTATAGGTTCTAGAATACAAATACATCTATACAAATAAATAAAATTGAAGTGTCTGTTGGTAATGTGGAAATAATAGGTTTTTTTTCATGCTCACACGGTTATTTGCGCGATACCTATGTCTAAAAACCAGTTTAAATATTTTTTGTCTGTCTGTTTTTTCCGCTTAACTTCAAAATGGCTCTACCGATTATGATAATATTTTAATCGCAGGTAGCTGTATTCAGAATTAACACATAAAAAAAATCCCGGTCCTGGAATCGAACTAATCCAGCGCTTTTCAAATTCCACGCGAACGAAATCACGGCACCAGCTAGATTTATTATAATAATAATATTCTACCACATTCACACAAACGCCATCTAGTCCCAAACTAAGCAGAGCTTGTACTATGGCTACTAGACAACTGATATAAGTACATATATACTTTTTTTTTTTAAATACTTACTTATTATACATAGAAACACCCAGAACAAATCAAACTTGAGCGGGAATCAAACCCGCGACCTTTGGAATAGCAGTCCGTTACATACCACCATTCGGTCGTCATAAAAAAATACATACATATATTGCTCTTGTCTGAAATAAAAAAAAAATAGGTAGGTAGTTAACAATATTGGGTGCATATTATGTATTACCTATTATAACTTTTGTCGATAATAACAATAAATAACTTCAAAGATATCTAATAAGAACTTTAATTAACTACAGTACGTTCGTGTAAAATTTTGTATAATATGTTACAAATATTTCCATATTTTGTTCTATGCATATTATATTGTTCTTCTCGCATCTCACGGTCCAAAATAATAATAATAATAACACATCTTACACATAGACCAAGCTTGTATATTGTGAGCGAACTGCTAATAAACATACTTGGGTATATGTTTCTAATAACATACATATTATACTCAAATTACACCCAAACACAGATAAGCTGTTTCTCACATAATTATTTGTCATGAGTGGGAATAGATTCGATATCGGGCTAGTGCAAATTTATATCACATCCACTCGCTCTCGGCGTTGCGATTGGTGAAGATTTCAGTGCAAGCCAATCGCAGCGCCAAACGCGGTCACCGTGACGATGGAGTACAGTGAAATAAACTTGCACTTGGCCTCTGCAAGTCAGCTTCACTTACCACTCAGACTAGAATATTTGTTACCTTATTATTATAAACGTAAAAAAAAAAAAAAGTAAAATAGGTAGAAATAGCCCGCATTTTAAACAAAAGTTGATTATTTTCTTTTCGCTAAATAGTTTATTAAAACTTGACAATGAACAAATATGTGGCGGGAATTGTAAAGTATAAAACTGTGTAGCTTTCATATTCATCCTCTAATAAAAATGTCGGAACAGAGAAATCTTTTACGCGGGTTTTTCTAAGCTATTTGCATTATCTGTCCACTCGTCTCTTTTTTTGACATATGCTTGAAAACGTAACTGTTCCTTACAAAATTGACCTTAAAACGCGATCGTCATACTGTGTTCTATTTGAAATCACTATGACTGTACAGTGTGCATGTTGTATGTTTTTAGTAATTATGTTTTATGTTACAGACAACAGAATTATGTTATATTGTACGCAGTGAAATATGTAATATTGTATAAAAATGTAATATTGTATGTTCAAAAAGTTCAAAAACAGATTTTAACCGATATTTTTAAATCAGTATGGGACAGTACGTATCAGTATCAGACGGGCATTGACAATCATTTTGGTTGTCTTTTATTACCTATTAATTTAACTTTTATAAAAAAAAGAAAAAAGTGAACAGAGTATAGATATACCTTTGAATTGCCCGACGTTATGACCAGATTGTACCACTTGTAGTCACAGGCGGACAGTATCGTAAGAGATACGGTATTATACTACACAAAATACATCCAATACAATTACTTAGCATATATTTGTAAGATAATTATACGTTTCTACTTTAATATAATACTGTTTATTCACACACTTTGTGCTTAGATGCGACTATTAGCTATGTAAGTGTGGCCTGTTTACAGGAAGTCCTGGAATCTGATCAATTTCATTTTTGATTTTTCCTGGATTCTATACAAGCGAACCCACGCAACTTCGTCTGCTTCTTTCCAAAGATTTCGGCTCCTGTTCGTCGTAGCGTGAAATTATATAGCCCATAGCTTGCCTCGATAAATGGCTATTCAACACTTAAAGAATTTCGTAATAGTATTTCCTGTGATTTGAGCCACCAACCAACCAAACGGTTCAATTTTATAATATTGGTATAGATGCAATAATTGCCTTCATTTATAGATTCCTTCATTCGTTTTTTTATTAATTTACTCATTTATATTAACTGTGCTATTTTTTTTATCGAGCAAAAGAAATATGTTCTCGATACAGTGAAGAGAGAAGAAGTGCTCTTGTCACAGAAGTAATTTTTATTTGTATTTTGAAGCTTATAGATGTGAACCATAAATCCTTTGTATGACTAAATTGAATGCCGTGATATAAAACAACTAAAAAAAGATGAACTTTATTATACTTGACTTCACGGATGGCGTAGTCGTTAAAGCGATCACCACTAGTGTTGTGGGTTCGATCCCCACATGGTACAATACAATTTTTATGATACACAAATTGTTGTTCAGGGTCTGAGTGTTCTTTGTGTCCGTTTCATAATTGTTTGTATAGTATGTATTGTATGTATTGTAGTATGTAGTATGTATTGTATGTATTGTTGTTTGTTTGTATACACAACACTTGTCTTAACAACTGCCTTTCGTCCAGAGAAATGAAAATTTAAATTGTCTATTCACTCAGTTTCAAAGCCTTCCTGTAAATAACACCAATGTTCTATACAACAGCTATTAAAACTACTAGTACCTAAATTTTATATAGGAGATATTCATTGTAAGCGCATTACATTTATACGTACATTTCTATACTTAGGTCACACCTAGTAATACTTATTTAAATGTAAACATCAAATTTAAAAATAATTTCAGACTAACATATAAGTAACAAGTTGATTACACTTTTATCCGTAATACTCGTAGGTTAATTAGTAAATTCTATAACATTCTATTAAGAATATATACGTAAACTTATAGAATAAGTAATGATTACAAGACTTTAAAACAAAATGCCGTACCGTATCTGGCATTTTGTTTTAAAGTCCAAATTGAAGGAAAAAAAACAACGTTTCAAAATATTCGACTTTCAACCTCAGGTCAAACTGTATACAGAGCATTATTACGAGTACAGCTAAGTAATGTATGGTATATTGTACTCAAACTAACAGTCTACGTGATTGTTAACTTAAATTGAGACCGGTATAACAGGAATATGTCAGTCAGTAGTACTCGTACATTCAATTATGTTCGTTTTATTAAAAAAAAGCTTTGTTAATAATGTTTAGACGTTAAGTTTGCATCTCATTATACACTATCATATCTCAATGCTATAGTCTATAGGATTCATTTTCTTCTCTGATTTTTACAAGGCTTAAATATATCAGAGAATAAAATGAAACAAAACGGCTTTATTTATACGCATAGCTTTAGCAGGTATTTTAAATTTGTAAGTTTTACAAATTAATGTAAAATACTTTAAATTCGAAATTTAGTTTAAGAGATTAACCACAATTTCTACTTTAATGTAATTCTCCACTAATGTTCTTTATACTGCAATATATACTCTTTGAAATTTTTTATACATACTAGCAGTTCACTGCAATTTCACCTTCATATCTGTGCTAGGAGTAATCCTATGGATTACAGCGATTTGTTTAATATATATTATTACTCAACAAATATTCTATCAGATACAAAAATAATCATTCAAAACAGGCTTATAGTTTCAGACATAGATCATTGCAAAAAAAGAAAAATAACTCTTTGGTTTTATTACATTAGTATATTTTTTGTATTTCTCCACTTTAATCACAACTAATTCTTACTAATAATGAACTCAAAATTCTAAAAAACTATTGATTATCATCGCCTAATTTTTTGACCATAACAACCAAAGCTTCGTGGGGTGGAGGCACCTGGAAGACGAGGCGGCCTTCCTCATCGAAGTAGTTGTCGTACCGCACCGTGCTGATCGGCTCCATGCCGAAAGAACTGCATATGCGCTGGGAATAAGCACCCGTTGCATCTGCTTTGAACAGCTGGAAAATAAAGAAGGAAGCTGGTGATGAGTAATTTGTAAAGTGCGTGTGTGTATAGAGTAATCAATATATATTCGGAGCACCAAACTAAACCTCCCCCCCCCCACCCCACCTGTCTGCTCGTGAGCTTCCTATATAAATTAAATTGGGTTGTGTTTTTTCTTTGTTACCTCAAAACTCTGTCATTTATAAACCAATTTGGAAAAGTATTTTTTTCTTTTGTAGAGTATACTTCCTTTTTGGTTTCAATCAAATTTGAAGAAAAAATACCACCCCTAAGTGTGGAAAATTGGTAACATTATAATACTTCAATTAATGATGATTTACATATAAAGAAAAATAACATTAAACGAAAGTTATATTACTTTGTTGATTAAAATTAATACGAACCCTAAAACCATTAGTTTTGGCCTGTTCTATGCTTTTTTCCATAAGTCCTTTAGCCACGCCTTTGCCTCTTGCCTGCTCGCTCACCGAAATTATTCTGCATTCTAGAATTCGGTCAACCTAAAACAAAAGTACATTAAATTATATAACTTTGATACTTCACGAGGAATACTTCAGCAATCAAATCACAGAAAACTGTTCTACAAATGAAGACCTCTCGCCTCATAAGTCGATACAGTCTACAATTATTACTTATTATATATATCTATATTTTTTAAGGCATAGGGGGTCAAACGAGCAGACGGCAACGAGCCCATGAACATATGAACGTCAAAAGTCTCAAGTGTGTTACCGCCCTTTCAGTCCCACCCAGCAGTTTTCGCGCTATTTTTGAGTCCCTTATCACTCGGTGAAAAGCAACGGAAAAAAACTTAACACCGATTTTCTGATGGGCCTTGTCATTCCGGTCTAGCCTAGCCCCTGTATGCTGAAGCATGACTCTCCCAGAAAATAAATACTTTTCGATGACGTCATAGAATAGAAAATCTAAATCCTTAAATCACGTTATGTTCCAAAATAATTTAAAGAAGTGAGGTTATTTTTAAGTATTCTTTTTTTTTTACACCTGCACTACTGAACTGATTAACATAAAAGCTTACTGATGACAATATCGAATACCTTACATCTAAAAAGAAATTACTATTTCTTTTTGGAAGGCCGTACTGCACGGATGGCGTAGTGATTAGCGGTCTCGTCTCGCGCGCCTCTTACTATTACGCTGAGTGTTGTGGGTTTGATCCACAAAATTGTTGTTTTCAGTCTGGTTGTTCTTTGTGTCCGTTTCATGTATATTTGTAAAGTCTCCCGAAACACAGGATATTTCATAATGCGGGAGCTGTCTTTTTAAAAAGAAAGAACTGTTTTCGAGAGATACAAGGCAAAATCTTGAATAAAATCTAGTTGACCATAAAGTTGGAAGAAGAATGAATAAGGAATGGTACCTGATACTTGTTGAAAATATCCAAGTCGCTGCTGACGGTGTACAGTATGGTGAAGATCTTCTTGTATTTCTCGTCGGAAGACTGCTTGATAGTGTCAAGTGATTGCTCAATGTCACCGGGTCATAAGATGCCGTTAAGAGCCACTCCTAGCAGCTGAAATGGTATAAGAAGGATATAGCTGGGAAACCCTTAAATGCTATACATAGATATGTAAATATAATGTATATAAATATTTAAAGTACAATAAAGGTACGTTTTATATATATTGTATACATTAATAAACACAAAGGTGAATTCCCGTTAATGCGGATAATAATTTTATTAATAGACTACAAAATTGAGCGAAACTCGATAAAAAAATAATTACAGACAAAAAAATAAAATTTCAGCGTGGTGTATTTTTTCAACAATTACTAACAAAGTAACCAAGATGAATACATTATATTGTTAAAAATATACCTTACTGCTAAGGGAACGTACCCATACTACGTGACCCATTCAGGGAGAAGGGGTCTCCAAAATACCACTGGGAGGGGGAAGGACTTAGATTTTCGTCACGTAGTCGATATCATATGGCAAGAGCTGTATTATTATTTTTTACTTTCTGTTTGCAAAAAACAAACTTTGCTAAAGGGAAAGCCCCTTCTCCACCCTTCCTCCTCTCCGGGGCGAGGTTGGGGGGTTTGGCATATACTACGGTTGGGTAGGGGGGAAGAGGTACCTTTCGTTCATTCTCGTATTTCATAGTCATTTTAAAATCTTAATAGTATAAAAACACAACTAACTATATCTCCTTCGACAGCTGCAACGGAATGTCCATCGTTCATAGTCGCGATGCACATCTGTTCAAGGGCTGCGTGACTCTCGCCACGCTCGCACAGCGCCACTGCCTTGTTGAGAGGCTCATCCGCAAAGAAGTTCTCCCGCAGATGCTGAATCACAGCGTCCGTCATCTTCGGTGTAATATTTATATAGCGCACCATCTGAGAAGAGAATAAAATATTTAGATTTACTCGTTAGGAACTGTTTAAAAAATGAAAAAATATGAGTAAATTGTCAAATAAAACACGAATTTAAAAAAAATGCATTTGAAATACGCCGTACAGCAACCATATTAATTTAAAAAAACACAGAGGCAGTATAAAGCCGCCTTTTCAAGTTACGAGTAGGCTCGGACCGAGTGTGGTAGTAACGTGAAAACGCATCTCGCATAAGAGTGCGATACGAGTTGAATAGCGTCCGAGTATCATTTATCTCGTTGTTTCATTACACTACATCCATTTACAAGATGTCCGATGACGACGATCTTCTACTGCGAGGCATAGAAATGGCGGCAGATAGTCTATAAAATAGTAAAGAGCAACTTGCTCCCTACCTAACTGGTTGATTAAGACAGCCTTGTGTCACGACGCACTAACAGGACCTAGTACATGGAGACAAGAATCAAGCTCCAATCATATAACTGATCTTCTGAACTAGGTTAATGATCATTATTTTCTGTCAGCAAAGAACGAAGAACTAGTTTCACACACTACTCCATGAGAGAACGTTCCTTCACATGGCAAAGTAGTTGAATATTCTGAAATACCTGTGTTTTCTTATATTAGTAAAACATGTTTATAGAACTAGGACAAATAAACTACAAATATTATTTATTATTTAACTGTTATAAACCCTAAACATTTCTTAAAACGATTCCTTTTTTTGATGACACACCATAGAAATCTATCTGCAATTTTAAGCCAATAGTTTTTTGCGAGTACGTATTCTGGATATTATAAAAATTTTTGTTGACGTCTTGGCATCATAAGTTCAGGTATATGTAAATTATGCGTTGTTTTGCAGCATTTCGGGCGTCTTTGTTTTCTATTTTTTTAGCCACACATTCCACAATACGTCCTCTTCTTCATAAAGCTCCACAAACCTCATAGTGTCACGTTCACTCAATTTTTTTTGTTTACATAAAAGAGCACTCTGATCGTTATCTCACGCCCGAGTGCACTTGGATGGCGTATTTACACGATACAAGTAATAACCAAAACAATGGAATGTATTTTTTGTATTTTTAAAACAACTACGCGTCGCAAGTCTGGTGTAATACGTCACGAGTATATCAGAGAGGTCATCGGTGACGCGAATCCATAAGTTTTTCCCCGTTCGAAAATCGTATTTTCATTTAGTATTATATAAGAATTCTATCGATACGCCAAACATCCAAACGTGTTCGCCTGAACACGTTTGGATGTTTGGCGTATCGCTAGAATTTACAAGATATGCGGGCATAATACCCATACATGTAAATGTAAATAACACACATTCTTAAAACTCCTACTTTTCGTGTGAAGAGTTACTGTAACGTTCTTCTACTTTTACTCGTTAGATTTCCTTTAAGTTGTGCAAGGTAATTCTAACGCTTCGCTTTGAGTTTCTTCAGTTTACTTGAAAGCTGCGTATACATACTACTGCATTTACATAAGACTTTATGGCAGCTTCGAAGTAAACTCAAGAAACTCTTTTTAGATTTTTACTAACATTTAGTGACACAGTTCCGTAAGCGAACAGTTTTGTATGTAGATAGTCTTTCTCGGAAATCGATCCTCGAAGATTTATGCTTCTTCGCTTTGAAAAACATATATTTTTGAAATTTAATTAATTGACCGGAACTTTTGATTAGCATTGACTAGCTAGAAGCTGGATTTTTATTCAGCTTCAATTTTTCATTATTACACACATAACAACTAGTTTTAATAGACCAAAGATTAAATTCTTTAATGTTGCACCTAACAGCTCCATGCGTTGCCGAGAAAAAACTGCTTCACAGACAGACAGACAAACAAATGGCCAACAAAATGATCCTATCCTATCCTATATCCTGAGACTACCCTTAAGATTCAGGCTTTAAGCTTGTTTGAGTAATGGCATCTGACTTTTAACACTTGATTTAATTTTTCATAACGTGAAATTATTTGAAAGACCTAGTAGGTATTTAGATATACACATATCCATAACATTTATAGACGGTTAGGCATGACAGTGGCCCATTGTAGTAAACAAGCGCCGTCTCAACGAAGGGGAGCGAGGCGAAGCGACGATGTTGATAATTAATCACTTCATACGGCTCGTCGCCAGTCGGTTGGTACAAGGACGATACCAGAAGTTCACTACTTTTATGGAGAAGGTATTATATTTTTGACTTCAATGACTTCAAAAAAAAACAATATATTTCCTTCATTTCTTTTATGCCATTAGGATTATTATATTTCCAGCTCTACAAATTTACTTCTGATTAATTTCCAAGACAGTTTATCTTTTTACTGTGGTGGTGGTATGGGTATGGCTATGGTCACTGTTGTTAATCATGGCGTACTGAAGTTAAAGTAGTGGGTGTAGAAGGGATTAGTCCTATCTCCATTGTTTGTAAAAAGATTTGGAAAAAAATATTTAGGAGAGTATATTTTCCGTTTGAGTCCAATCAAACTTGAAGAAAAAGTAAGTGTGTGAAAATAAACAACTTAACTTTGCAAATTCTAGAAAAAAACATGGCAGTAATAATTTAGGAGCAAAAGTATTACGCCTAATTAGCTTCGTAATCAACTAGGTAACCTAGGCGATAATGCTAACGTTTGAACTTCAAAATCCACAAGGGGAGGTTAATTTTTTTAATCAATATTTTCATTAGTATTGTTAAGTCAGATTAATTTACTATTTAATTTCCACTTTTCAGAGACACTTTTTTTTATTTTATTTATAAAAAGTAATCTTTGTCCTTTACAATACAGATGCCAAGGTATAATCAAAATTTCATAAAAATGAGTTGAGTTGTTTAGGCGTGAAAGAGTTTTTTAACTTTTTACATCTCACCCGTGATCATCTAGTTCCAAACTAGGCAGAGCCTGTACTATGGTAACCAGACTGATGATAAACATACTTATATATCTCTAAATGTATTCTAAATAGATAAATTGTACCCAGATATTGTGCGAATGCTGAGTCCTGGGTGGGAACCTAACTCAGAACTTTTAGGTTTTTGTTATGACCGTTAACCACTAAACCAACTTGCCAGCCAATATATTTATAAGATTGTTTTGATATTAGTAGTCGTTTTTCACCTTAAAGTTTTTTAGTGTACATCAACGCTAAAAAAAACCAATGTTATTTTTATCCTCCAATCAATAAACTTGGATCCAATGGATGAAAAACTCCAATCAACCAATAAATATTTGGTTTCCCATCATTACACGAAATAAACAATTGGCGTGTTTACGCCTACGCGGGCTGAAAATTTATGTTATTAAATAATATTCGGTTTCCCATTATTACACGAAATAAATAATAGGTGTGTGTACGCCCACGCGCGCTTAAATTAAACTATTATATATTTTGAGTGTGCGTGGTCGTGAACATATATATACACACGCATATACATAGTATATTCTATTGAATACTATATATTAGATACACACATATATTTTCTATTACAACATTCATATCCATAAAAATAGATAGATTTTGCTTTTATGTTTATTTTCACATTTTTTAGAATTGAAGATATTGACGAAAAAAATCTTACTTTTTTTTCTTTGCCCTGCCTAACTAGAAGGCGAAACGTCATGTGCTGCTACGAACATTCGTAGCACATCAGTGTAAGTTGAATGCTAAGCTTGTTGCACACAAATATTGCTATAAATTCACTTACAAAGTGTCAAATTAAGTGTTTAAATAATTGGCTAACTTTGGTTTAAAAAAAAAACTGTAAAATCACTTGATTAAAATGAAGTTAAGAAACCATTTTTGAAATAATTAACTTTTCTGAAGGGGTTTTAACAAGAAGACTAACACTGTGTCCATGTTTCCATGTCTCTCAAAGAGCTATTAGAAACATGGACACAGTGTGGCCGCGGGGCCATCCTAGGTCTCATCGAAAAAACAGCTGTAGTAATATCCCGGATACCGACTCAGAAGTAATTCCTGCCTTATATATTATTATTAAACTATATAAAACTGCCACGCCTACATTTTTCTTAGATCTTGGCTCTTTATTGAATACGCTTTGTCGCCGGGAGAGGCCCAGCGGAGGGAGCATTCCACCCGTGCCCGGAGCGCCGGGGAGTGCTGCTGTCATTAGTGTGGATATTTTTGACAAGCCGAAATTTAGTAGGTATAGCTTGAAAATATGGGTGACTTTTTTTCTGTTCCAGAGGTAAAAATACCATTTTTAGACGGTGATCCTACTAAACAAAATCGATATTAAAAACAAAAAGCAACTTTAAATTCGACAGGTCTGTGTGACTACAAAGAGTATTTACTCCGAATGCAATGTTTCACATTTCAAATGTTAATCCATAATAATATTAGGAATGCGAAAGTGTGTCTGTCTGTCTATCTACGCAGATACAGAAAACATCTCAGCAATTTTAAAATGATATAATTTGAACTATATTTAGGTTATTAAACAATAAGTAATATATATTTGTGTATACAAACCTGTCTGAAGTAATTTACATTTTTAGTCTATTAGAACTTTAATATATGAACGTCCTGTAACCATGAGTAACATAGTCAACCGACTGCCTGAAACACAGATCTCACACCTAACTCTGTAACTATGTAAAATTTTGATTTTACCTTTTTTTCTATTCACTCTTATACGTTTTAGAATAGAACTTTATATAAGAATCCAATGACAAAAAGATGTAAATCATACACATTATTTTTATCTGTCTGTCTGTTACCTCTTTACGCTTAAACGGCTGAACCGATTGAGATGAAATTTGATGTAGAGATAGTTTGAGTTTGATAGTTTTTATCCCATAAATCACCCTTTAAGGTAGTGAAAAGGGGGGCGTGGAAGTTTATATGGGGAATCAATAACCGCTTAACGGATTTAGATGAAATTTGGCATGGAGATAGTTTGATTCTTGATTAAGGAAATAGGCTACTATTTACCGCAATAACTAATATACACGCCGGCGGAGCCGCGGGC